CGTAGATTCTAAAGGGACAACATATCGAGAAATTCGATGGAATATATTCGAATTAAAATTTTTTGAAGTTGATAGATCTGATTATGCGTGAAATGTATTTAGAATTAAAATTGACAATTTTATTTATACGATAAGACATAGATACTTGGAAAAATGGTAATGGTTTCGGATAATTTTGTATAATTCTGGTACAGCCCGGCCGATTCTACTCACGATTCTGTTAAGGATCAAACGAATTGTCAAGACTGTCGAAGAAACGATATATTTCTGACACTTTGGGATAGTAGGATAGAATTATGAGGACGTGCCTCGCCTCACATATTTTATATATTGTTCCCAACAATTCCGTCTGCGTGCTGTAGCATTATATTCTATCCTACTGGGAATTGTGCAAGGTTAAATTAAAAAAGAAATATCTTTCATGCTATTAATAAAAAGATAATCCTAATGAATGCTTCACAGTTATAATTTTCATTATAGTTTTCATTTTGACAAACGTTAAAAAAGAAAATTAACTTCTTTCTCTGAGGGAGAAGATAATTTACAAACTTGAAATCTCTTTTTCTTTTTTCAATTCTAATTTTTCAAAGGCAGAGAGAGAGCAGAGAAAGGTTCAACCTTTGGAACAAGTTGAAATATATATAAAATATTCCAGATATTGCAAATATTATGTGTTGTGCATTTATTACTATTATATATATATATATATAATTTATTATTTATGTTATTATTACATTAAAAAGGACATTATTATTATGTGTATTCATTATATTGCACAAATGGTACCTATTCATATCAGATATAAATTTCATCATATTACTTAATTTAATAATTTACTACACTGTAGATTTTATGATATTTTACATAGAATTGAGCTCGAGTTCACTATCGTGGAGGCTTTCTTCTGGAGGACGATTGACCGCTTGACAAGCTTGAGAAAGGAAATTAATTTCCCTCGTTGATTTGTCAAAATCATCCAACCTTCATCAATCCTTCTGCTGTGAGAAATTGCGTAGGAATTGAAAGGATGGAAATCGTTCGTAGTCAATTTGTCTCGCGTGCGAGATCAGGTCCAGCGGCTGATAACAGAAATTCCATCGCACATCCCCCGGTCGTTTGCTAAATGTCCATCGAGGGACGGCCGCGGGGGTGATCCGGCTCAACAAGTGTTACGTCAGGACGAGCTTGCGTCTACGGTTCGGTCGATTCGCGGGGGTGGTGTCGACGTGCTCTCTCGTAATCGGAGGCGGTACCTCGCGAGTTTCGTCGTTCCATGCCGCTCGATATATGCTCACGCTGAAGTTTTCGACACTCAACTTTAAAACATCGCGCCAGACGAAAATGTATTTCGGAAAGGTGAACAACTCGATTGGACTTTCGGTAACCATTTGGTAACTAGTCTTTTTTTTTTTTTTTTTTTTTTGTAAAAGTGAGTGGTTTCGTTATACGAGAGAGGAACTATCCCCTAGAGGAACGTAAGGAAAGAAAAAAGCTTGGAAGCGATTTGTATTTAGAATATGAGATAAAATAGGGTTGACGGTCTGATCTTATGGTCAGACAATATCGAAGATAATTTGATAATGAGTAGAATAATGGCGCAAAAATGCTATCCGCTGATAGATCGTTACCGTTGGAATGCAACAAAACACCGTACGCGCCGAGTGAAAGCGAATATCCGTAAGAAGTTTCACCTCGTTTATGCGAAGGGACTTTTTTGTCAATCTTATTATACTTATTGCTTTCTAGATGGAACATGCTTTATACGCTATTATACAATGCCGATAATCTAAACCACTTAGGTACAGTTAACAGTATTATATTTTACACTTGCTCATTATACTTACTCTCATCAGGGTTAGGATGTCACTGTAATCTTATAGTTGCTAAATTTTAAATTTTATAAATGCGAGGCAGATAAGATGTATAGAAATCAGAGTATTATAACTTGGATGCAACTCCTTTTGTTTTTCTACACAGCGTAACACATAATTTTATAGCGACTATGTCAACTAGAGTAAGTTCCAAGTATGTTAATTTAGATAGTGGATACAATAGAGTGAGTCAGTCGTAAAAACCATATCTGACCTAGAGAAAAGAAATAGAGAGACGAAAGTGTTTGATTAAAGGAGTTTCTATCTTGATATTTAAGAATGCTATACACTTAAAAAAAATTTTTTTTTTTAATTCGTGGACTTCAGTTCGAACTCAGTTTTTCAGTTTAAGATATCCATCTTCATTAGTCAATTCGTTAATTATTTCAATCTATAATTGAAATTTATGAACGAAAGGGTTACAATAAAATGTTGCATCTCATCAATAAATTCTTTTTGAAAATTACAGATAAAATAGTTCGATATAAAAAGTTAATAAAAATCTATTATAATAATCAGATGAGATGATGACAAGGATTTATTGCACTCTCACGTGACCATAAAGATTTGATGTATGTGTTCTAAAATTATATCGTATTTGTCTATTGCTCTTGTTGAATATAACTCTATTTTGATGAAATTATTAAACTTTTAAACTTTCTATTTAGCATTGTGCCAATATTAGTAGTATGTATGTGAAGCAAAATAGTATGACTTCTCGGAGATAAAGTATTTCTTCCTAAATTTATATTTTAGACTGATACGAAAACTAAAAATTCTTAACATATCATGTAACCAACAACTGATATGTTATTTTTATTGACACATGTTATTTTATTTTATTTTATTATATATCTGCTTCACAGAATATCCAAATTGATCGACTCTATTTTTAAAATTATTTAAAACTTTGATTCACTTTGCCAAATCTACTTGAATTGCTTAACTTTCTATATCTGAAATAAATTTCCTTAATGTAATTAGATTGAACGATAAGCGACAAAAGTCTTTTTGGTCGTAGAATAACAATTTATTTCAAAAGTCAATATGGTTATTTCAAAAATACACTATTTAAACTTTAGAGAAATTCAAAAAAAAAAAAAAAAGGAACGTACAAATGTGTATTATTTTACAAGTTTCTCTACTTCTCTACTTGTTAATCGATTCGACTCATATACTTGCATGGTTACTAGACATGTCCACGTGTCACTGTACAATATTAACGAGATACTAACGTTCCATTCATAGATCGCCAAAATCTTAGCCTTGCAACTCAAGGACCTGCAGTTCAAATTTCTTCCTCACTTGCACTCAAACAAGTGAAACAACATGTGCAACGCATTTGCAAGCGCAACTGAAACCATATTATGTCGCATGGAGCCCTCAATTATTGTGTAGCCGTCGGCCAAAGTCAAAGCACAGAAACGGTGGAAAAGCTGATCGACTGGCGAACGTCTTCCTCTGCTTCATCGAGAGATCGTGCACGATGGTGTTCGTATTCGCGTTGGAACCATCGACGGCGGTGTGCTCGGTCGTCGCGGTATCGACTTTGGCCGGTGGTGGTGGCTGTTGTCGCGGCACAGTTGGTGTCGCGGAGGGAGAGAACGCGGGTCGCGGTTAGGTAGGGGGGGAGGGCCGGGCAGCGGCGGTGTTGGGGGAGAGGATGGAGGCGGTAGGTGTCACGTGGGCGCGAGTAGGCCCCGCCTCCGCGAAGTAGCTCGAGGTACGGCGCGTCATTCATGGCCGAGCTAAAGGCTGCGCCACTCTCCGGGTCCGTCCAGCTGCAGCGGCTCGCGAGAGGAACCCACGGGGACACCTGTCTCCCCCGCGTAACCGTGAACATCCGGCGAGGACCGCGCCGCCGACGACGACGACGACGCCGATCGTCACCAGGGAGACCACCGCGCTACCACCGCGACCGCCGCCAAGTGCGACTACGCGCCTCCACGTCCGCCGCCGCATCCTCCACGCTAGTGGATCGCGAGAGTGTCCGGTGAGCCGTGTTCCGCAGCCGGTGGCAGGCTCGCGGAGAGGCCGCCGGCTCGCGTCGTGCATGCGACCGACGTCATGTGTCGACATCAGTGTGTCAGTGTGATTATATAATCTCTCTTCGTTAGATTTTCGCATTGATCCGCTTTGTTTTTCTCTTCTTCTTGAGAGGTGGAGGTACACGTAGAAAGAGGGTGGGAAGGGTCGGTTTCTCGGGAAGGGG